GCTATAACAATAATCAATTTCAAAATAATAATAGTTCTAAAAATAACTTTTCATCAAATTACGATCAATTTCAAAAGCAATATATACCTTATGATAATTATAATCGAAATATCAAATTACCTAATAATAATTATTCAAAATTCAAAAATAATGATCGAAATTTTTCACAATTTAAAAGTAATTTTCAACAAATTTATAGACCACAGTTTAATCAAAGAGAGAATTTTCAAAATAACAATAACTTTCAGATGAATCGTAATTCAGAGAATTACAAATCAAATACTTTAAAATGTAATTATTGTGCTAGGAGTAATCACAATTCAGAAAACTGTTTTTATAATAATAACAAAACAAAATGTCAATTATGTGACCTTATAGGCCATACAGCTCGTAACTGTCCAAAAAATTCAAAAAACTAATTTCTAGGTTAAACGATAGTGCTGAAGAAAACAGTTTTCCTTTTAAATCAGCACACAATATTATAAATAATGTGACTCAAGAAAGTCACATTCCTATTGCTTTACATTTTTATGCTTTATTTAATGATATTAAAATGCCTATCACCATTGACACGGGATCAAATATATGTTGCGTAACACATACTTTAATTTCAAACAATCAGATCAAANCATAACACATACTTTAATTTCAAACAATCAGATCAAATCACAATATTTTTCAAATATATGTGGTCCTAACAATAGACCATTAAATATTTTAGGAACAACGAATATTATCTTAAATATAGAATCAATAGATTTTATCATTAAAGTTTTCGTAGTAAAAAACTTATCTTGCATGATTATTCTTGGAAATGAATTTTTAGACAAAAACAATTGTGTCATTGATTTTGAAAAACAAACAATGTGTTTGAATGATCAAATTCAATTACCTATATATTTGAACAATAATTTAAATCTTAATCAATTAAATTCTAATTTTACTGAAAAAGTAATGGATCTGTTTACAGTGTATGATTATTATTCAATAGCACATTGTATTTCAGTTGATCTTAAAATGAGTAATGGCATAGCCTTGGAGATATGTAACAAATATGGTAATATGGCTCCAACTTTATATAAATTAAAACCAAAGATAGGTGATGCTATTCTAGTCTGTACTAATGGTAGAATTATTTATTTTTTAATTACAAAAAATTATTATTTCGAAAAGCCAGAATATATGAATATTGAAAAGGCTTTAAATAATTTAAAAATTCAAATGATAAAACATCATGATAATCACATTGCAATGCCTAGAATAGCATCAGGTCTAGATAAAAAAGAATGGACTATAATTAAACAGATGATCTGTTCTATTTTCTTAAATACTAGTATTAATGTTTTAATATGTCATAAAGATAATGAATATATTACTAATGATTGGAAAACTAAAGAGCATATTTCAGTCATAAATACAATTAAACAATTTTACAACGATAGAAATTTAAACGACACTAGTAATCATATTCACAATAGTGATAATGTCAATAGCAAAGTCGATAATTATAATCAGAATNATCAATAGCAAAGTCAATAATTATAATCAGAATAATAATATTAACTTAAACATTTTTGAATCTTATAAAAAGGGAGAAAATATTTATAGTGAAAACAATTGTGGGTTTTTTGCAATTATTAATGCACTTAATGACGGGAAAACTAAAAAAATAACTTCAGTATTTGAAATTTTAGAACTTTTAGAATTATCTGATTTGCCTAATTATTGGTTTGGTGACGATGAATTAGCATCTATTGCAAATTATTACAATCATGACACATATATCTTTAATGATACAGATAAAACTGGAATCATTTATGGTTTAGGTAATCGCCCACCTATAGTCCTATACAATGTAGATAAAAATACACACTGGATTCCAGGTACACAATCAAATAAACCATCAAGAGATATTCCTTTAAAAACAATAAATTTTACAGAATTTGAATCTATAGATAATTTAAAAGAATCTATTATTAAACACATAAACAAAAAAGAATACAATAATATTGCCAATGGTATTGACAATAATATTGAAATTAATAATTTAAACATTAATGAAAACAATTTGTCAATAAAATCAAAAGATAATGAAAATCTTAATAACACAATTTTAAACACTAATACACATACACATGAAAGTAAGCCAACCATTGTAGATATGGAAGGCACCACAATTAATATGTTATCTCATTTAATTAGTTCTGAACACAATCAAGTCTCTAAAATAATAACAGCATATAATAATTTACAGTTTAATGATATTGTTGAAATTAAAGCAGCAGATGAAGAAAATGTAATTGAGAATTTTATTTTTCCAAATTTAAATAAATCTAATAGTTTAACGCAGAAAGTAGAGTTAAACAAACTAATAGATAATTTTAATTTTATAACACCAGCCTTAATTAAAATCAAAAAACTTTATTCAAATTCTTTAGTTGTTTGAGACAAAAATTCAAATAAGAAAAATGAAAAAAATCAGATGTTACTCCAAAGTAAAATAAATTTATTAAAGGTCATTGAAAATTTTCAACATTTTAACCTTATTTAATTCAATTGTAAGTTTTTACAGGTATATGTGAAACCATCAAGTCGTTTGATTCAACTTATTTTTATTACATTCGTAATACTATGAAAATAACTCAAGATTTTAAAACTATAAGTTTGCAAAATATATTTAATAAAATTATTTCATTTTTCTTAGGTAAACCTATACTTTACAATTATAACTTAAATTCTTATACGAAAAATATTAATTTTAGAAGAAACATTTTATATTCTAAAAGTATATTTTATAATTCTTTAAATGAATATTATTGGTCTTTTCAAAACTACAAACATTCTTTTGTTAAATACATCATGAAAATGATTTGCATTAAGCATGTAATTTTTATTTTTGACCCTGGTGGTAAATATTTAATTATTATTATGATCACTTAAAAAAGGGTTAACATTGTATTACTAATGTAAAAAAAAAAAAAAAAATGTTCATATCAATAAATTTATACTTTCTTTACTTTTAACTTAAATAAACATTACACATTATATTACTCATAAGTAAATTATTCATAATTTATAAATGGTCATAGGTATACAAATCATATGAAAACATACTTTTATAATGGGTTAATGAAAGATTCATTTACCATATTTAATATTATTATATAACATATGTTTAATTATATTATGTCTACATGTAAACATTGAATGTCTAAAAATGTAATTTTATATTTCACAACATTGTATTATTTATACAATTAGTAATTTTAATTTTATAATTAATTCATATAACAAATAATTTTTTTTTAAAAAACATAACAATTGTAAAGCAAGTTTCAACAATTTCAAATCATTAAAAAAAAAAATCCAAAAATCAATACGAATTAAGAAAATGCAATTCATACTAGTAATGGTGGTTAGAATAATTAGTTCGGCAATGATAAATCAGCTATACCAGATGAAGACTTCGGAATTCAAATTATCAGTAAAATCTAAGGGATCAAGTGCTCATATAATATCAGTACTTACGAAGAAAAACAAATAAAAGAAATCTATTTGTGTTTGCAAATTTTTTTGATTTTGACATTTATGATTTCAAAAGAAACATACAACTACACAAACTAAAAATGTGAAGTCCAAAAATAAAGAAAAATCATAGATTTCCAATTTGAATAGCACTTCTATAATTATCATGTACAGAACCAAAGAGCAATACCTTATAATTACAAAAGCAAAAATTCTAGAAGAACAAAAAAAGTCTGAACTCTAAAATTTTTAATGACTATTACTACGTATGGAGAGAACAGGACGATGATTTTTCAGACAACATCACACATTTTTTTTTTCACAATGTTTTGAATAAGTTCTATCACATTATTTTTACATAAATTTATTTAAACAAAAATTTTACATTTTCTTATCTTTTAATATTACATTTGGCACCATACAAACATATACACTATCATACTATTATTTTTATGTATTCTATCNTTCAAATTCTTTAAGATCACATTCTGGTGAATCACGCCACAGGATATGTTGGAAACTTTGATGCTCAGGCAACACATTAATCTGACGATACATTTTACAGATATCGGATGAAAACACATACTTATAGGTTCGGAATAGAGCCAACACATTGACAATATCAGATTGTAACTTAGGACCTGGAAATAAGCAATCATTAAGTGAATATCCACTTGGTGCACGTGCTGACGCATCAAAAACAACTCTTAGCCTTATATCCTGACCGTCCAGTCCGGGTTTGACAACCGCGTGATGTGGTATATAGTAGTCACCAACTTTAGAAGTCTCATGCATGTGACCAAGCGATTCATACTCACGCATAAAGGACCGATAAGCTTCAGCTAACGTTTCATTTGAACACAAACGTTTCTCTAAATTTTCAAAACGTTTCAATGCCATCTTGCGAGAACCTTTCAACAGAGACTTGGAATTAGAATGACGAAAAGGCAAAGGAACACAATAACGCCCACAATCGTCAATGTTCATATTTTTCTGAATAATGGCCTCACAGTTATCGTCTTCAGTCACAGGAGGACCACAGGTTTCAGGTTCTTCAACCTCCCAAAATCGAGAGACCAATTCTTCCAATGACACTGACAAAGAAGCCACACAAACTTGCGGTGCATTCAAATTACTTGCTACACCAACAGAGCCAATTATCACCCATCCAAAAATGGAACTAAAAGCTGCAGGTAAAGAAATGCCCAAAGATACTTGCTTACCATCCATGACAAGCGGATACACATCAGCACCTAATAAAACATCTATACTGGAACTAACATCAAAAGTTGGATCAGCTAAGGCAAGATGTTCAACACGTTTCTTCATATCAACAGGTATGGGACGTCTAGGAATATCACAGGTAATAGATGGTAAAATCCAGGCTTGCACTGAAATAGATGGATCATCTGAGTGCCTAGGAGTGACATCACACTTCAAAATACCTTGTACTTGTGGAACCGATACTCCAGCCAATCCATTAACAGGAGCTGTCCACTTAGCCACATGCAGACCTAACCGCTTGGCACATGCTGCTGTCATAGCGCTTATTTGTGACGCTGAATCAATAAGGATGCGAACTTGATGTGCTATACCATACTGATCACGTATGTGACCTAAAGCCGTTCCTAATAATACTTCATGTGTGTTAATTATTGATGACACTGTAGATAAAGCTACAGGCATGTCTTCCCTTTCAGTCTCTTTACTGAAATGCAATAAAGTGTGATGTTTCTGACCACATTGAGCACACCGGTCAGTACTTAGACAACGATCAGTCCAATGATTAATGCCCAGACAATTAAAACACAATTTCTTTTTCCGAACAATAGTCTGACGGTCCTTTAAAGACATGGATGGAAGCCGAGAACAAGAAGAACTAATATGCGATCCAGAGCAGACAGAACATACTGATTTATGCACTTCGTTGGATTTAGCAGCTACAAACGACACACGCCCAACATATTCTTTCTTTGGCTTAGAAAATTGTTTACGCTGGTCAACTTTAGCTCCTACGATATTGTATCGCCCACCTGCATTTTCTAGTACACGTATTCTTTCTCGTATGAACATAAACAGACTCTCTACATCAGGGAAGTTTTCAATATTGGTTGCCTCAAAAAGTTTTCTACTACTAAGAGGTAGACACCTCACAGCTAATGTGAATAAAATAAATTCACCAACATCAGGAATAGACAATGATCTTAATAAAGAAATATTGTCTTCAAACAATTCAACATAATCATTCAACGATGAAACATTCTCTTGAGCCAACGGAGATGCACTTATTAATTTCTCCACCAATAAATTAGCTAATTGACGTGGCTTATTATATTTTGCCTCAAGTGCATTCCAAGCTAGTTTGTAGCAGTCCGGTGACATGTGAAAGCCCTTAATAACATTTAACGCTTCACCACTAACACAACCACATAAATAATAATATTTTTCATCATTGGACAAACTAGTATTGTTGTATATTTGGGTAAGAAATCGGCCACTAAAGGAAGGCCAATCGATGAACTTACCCGAAAACATGGGAAGTGGAATTTTTGGAAGTTTGTTATTCTTGAAAGATTGGCCAGGGAATAAAGTCACCATTGAATCACCATCATCAGTGTTTCCATTAATAGCATTACCATTACTCTCATTAAACTTCGCCATTAAAGCGGATATCTCACTCACCATATCAAATACTTCACTTTCCAATTCAGTTGGAAAATTACTACTCTCATTTAAAATAACTAGAGCATCTAATACTAAATCATTTTGTGCTTGAAAGGCCTTCCACAAATCATCAACACCATGAATCATAGCCACAAATTTGGTCACCAAGTTAGGCTGTGATACCGCACTAACTCCTACCTCCAAGATTGACCTTATGCTTTTAATAGCCACAGTTCGCTTTAGGGTAGCTCTATCCCTAGCTTGCAAATTAGGGTCAACCATAATAATAAATTTAATTTAATAATGCCCAAATTAAAACAGACTAAAATATTTATAATTAAAAAAATTTTAAATTGCTCAAAAGAATGAGAGAAAAATCAAATCCAGGAGACCATAAATAATTACAAAAAAACAATTTATTGTATCATAGTTTTCAAACCCAGAATAAATAAAATAAAAATACCTTATATTAATAATCAATATTGTTCCTCGGTCCACTCGACCAGTAACGCCGCCCGCAGTCAACCACACGCTCTGCTACCAAATGAAAGGGCTACTGGGCTCACAAGACCTTAACTGGTAAAAGAACAGAAACAATTTTTCTGATAAAACAATGAATGATTTATTTTTCCTATAATGAAAGATGAATGTTAATAAAAAAAAAATATATTATAACATTAAACTATACATAATCTTAACAGTTAGTAAACATTTAACAACATTTATATTTAATTTCTCAAGGAATATATTAAATGACTTAAACCTCAATTCACCAAAATTATAAATGTATATAAATATAGATATAGATATAATATATTATTATAACTTGCCAATAGAAAAGAACAAGTTATTTACATCAATAAATACTTATACATAAGTGGCTGAGGAACACATTTATGGTTTGACTTCTTTTATTTAATTTAGCAATTTTTACTTGAGATGATGTTGCTGTGAGGCACACACATTCCGACATAAATGAGCAACCACAATTGGCCGAGAACAAAATCCACACAACGGGATTATTCTGAAGAACATATTTCTTCTAGACACATGTATCTGAGTAGCCCACAATTGGCTTAGACCAAAAAATCCACATAAAAGGATTATTCAGAAGAACCTATTTCTTCTAGACACATGTAGATTCATAACCATAAAAAAAAAGGTATCAGTCTTTTATCACAAAAGGACAACATGAAAAATGTGATAGCCTTCCACAGTGTCGCCCTATTCTGCGGCGCGAACAGTTATAGTCTTTCAAAGTTTACATTTTTTTTCAATGTTAAAACATTCTTTAAAACTGGTTTGTCGAAAATCACCCATGTACGGATGTAGATAATTTAGTCATGTGTTAATTTGACATATTGATAATGTCTCTACGACCTCTCATCCTTAGAATCTGTGATCACCCGAGACACATTTGTTTTTTAAATTTTTTCAATTATTTCGTAGCCGAGTCTGTCGCACACGTGCGTTCATTAGCGTTGGTGACCACGAAAACCGGTTTTGGCGAAACATAAAGTCGTTATCGCTCGTGCGGCGACGCAAACAATTATAATATTATATTGCATTAAATAACGTAATATATATATTTTTCTTGATTACGACCTAAAAATGTACATTACTTTAATATTTTATTTTTATTTTTTCACAATAACTGGAATTTTGTTGTATTTAGGATGATAATACTACAAGAGATTAAAATTGTAGAACGTTTGATTTTCTTTTAAAGGACGAATATTTAAATGCAAAGTATTTTCGTCTCTATTGCGATAATGCTAGAGTAAGATTTTTCTGATTTTTCTTTAATCCGTGTAAACATTGATGTTTCTGTTATGCCACCGACTCGCTGCACCTCTTGGCCGAAGCATTCGGTTTTTTTTCGCCTGTTATGGACACGACTTATATCTTAATTAAATAAAGATTAATGACAATACTCTTCCAATGAAGAAGAACAAATATAAATTTATTGATTGATAATCATAGTATTAAGTAAATTAATATACCAATATTACTATACAAATTATACACATATTTATGGTTAATATGCTAACTGGTTATTTCATCCATTCAGTTCCCAAGTCCTTCTAACTGGTCATTCCTATTATGGACATCAAAATTAAACTGGTAACAAATTACGATTATGAATCTCAGCTGTGGGCCATCAAGTTGAGGCACTCCACTATCCGTCATATAATTGTTCTAGTATAAGCGCCAGACTGGCTCGCCGAACACAACGACGCTCAACAATGTCCATCGCGATAACCGGTGGTATGCAAGTGGCGCTACATTTTATCGGAGGCCGAACAGTTTCAACGAATGCTCATGTTTTGTCTTAAAAAAAATAATAAGATACCAATTTCATATAGTATTTAATTTTCTATTCTACAGTATTTTATTAGTCAAATTATACTATTATTTATTTAGGTCAAGTTGCGTACGACAGATCGTGCCGCCGTTTTTGTCAACATTGGACGTGTATGATAATATAAGTACACAGCCTAATCAAATTGTAATTCAAAATTTCTCATAAAATTTCGCTTCAACACGCGATATTGACAATCCTACTTTACCGGAGTATTTCCTTTTATTATTTTTATATTTTCGTAAATTAGTTACATTTATAATAATTTATATTTCAGTTATAATATAGTTCTGAACATTTCAATCGTAGCATCTATTTAAACACCATAGAAATGATTACTAAAAATTCTATTTAAATGATTTACTATTATAAAAATAGTGATTTTAACAAAATTTTGAATTTTCCTTGTACATTTAATGTTAATAGTAATTATACAAGATCGTGATCACGTATCAATCTAAGCAATTTTTTATTCCTCATAACATTTTCTAATTAAAAATTCTAAACCTGCAAGTTAACCTAATATAATGCTTAATAGTTCAACATTTTTAAGTTATAATCTTACATAAAAATTAACTTTAAAGGATCAATAAAATAAGTAAAAAATGACATTTTGAATTGAAATTTTGCACGGATTATTTTTAAAATGTTAAAAATTAATAATAATTTGATGAAATTTTTTCATGCGTAAATATTGGTCTATGATAATTAGAAAACATTTAATTTTAATAATATGATTTTACTGTGTAATTCAGTATAAAAACAAATTTTATACTCCAATTAATTTGGAGATTATTGTATACACGTTGGTCAAAAGTGTTGTCAAAGAATTGTGTTGTGTTACAATTATGATGTCGTGTTACTAGTGATGGGAAATATTGAACAGTTATTATCGAACTATTTGATAGTTGTCCACTATTCAAACTATTCTATAGTCATTCAAAAACTATTCATATAGTAAAAATATTCGATAGTTACACAGTATATTCGAATAGTTTTTAAAATATTTGATAGTTTATGTTAAAAATAAAATATTCCGTGGTATAAACACAATTCGAATAGTTAATCGGTAGTTTAAAATATTTGAAAATGGCCATCACTAATTTTTATTATTATTAATTGTATGCTATTTATAATCGTAGTACCTCGAATAAACAATTTTAAACAATCCTATTTAGATCGTTAGTGTTATCAAAACAGCAAAACTATAAATCTGACTATAATTTTACAAAAGACCAATATTTTAGAAAATTTAACTTTATATATTTTTTTTTACGAAACATTTTGAAAATTAATTTTAGCAAATAATTTTTTTATTTTGTTTTTTTGAGCAAGTAAAAATAAAGGTAAGTAATATAGAATTTATATTCTATACATTGTTATGCTAAGTGTGTTAGTTTTAAAAATAATAATAAAAAACTGAAAAATTCCTTTTTTGAGTGAATTTTCAACCCTGATTCAGATCTGAAGGGGGTAAGTTATCAAAACCAAATTTTACACAAATAACTTTCGTATAATAAAAAACTAAATTGGCGGGTATGGAGATCGATCAATGAAAGTTAATAAAATAAGAGCCACTATAATATATACCTGCGACTCATCCCAATTCATTTTTAAAATGCTATAACTTTTAAAATACTAGTCCAAAAGTTGTTATCGATTAGTCATTTTATCAATAATATTATTATGTAACCAATAAGTTAGTTAATTATGTATATTGCCCTTTGATAAAATAAAGTTGATACACTTACAAGGTATAAGGGATGAAGCTAAAACGAATTTAATAATGAATTGACCCATATTTATAAGTTTTTATCAACGACTCACAGACTAAAATTAAATAATAAAATGGTACTTTTTACTATTATTAATTGTATAATAATTTATTTTAAGTATTCGTTAATTATATTCTTATTATAATTAAGTGATAATTGATAAAAATTTTAGATATAACTATTCGAATATTTTTTGAATCCATTCGCAAGCTCATTCGAATATTTTTTAAACCTAATCAATAGTTTTAAAAACTATTTGATAGTTTATGCTAAAAACACACTATTCGGTTATATAAAAACAATTCGAATAGTTTAAAATATTTGAAAATTACCATCACTAATTTTTATTAAAAGCTCTATGGCTCTTGGCAGTTCATAATTTTTTTTTGTAAAAAGTGAATTATTACTTTTGCGATTGTCGCACCCTTGTGCGCTCTCAGTATATGGGTCTATTTGTTTTCTGAGATACATCACAATACCGTTCTTAGCCTATAGTACACGTTAATCAGTTACTTGCATTCGGCTTCAATTGATTCATTTAATATTCAACATTATTATAAACCGGTACAATTAGTCGATGAGTATAATGCCTGTTTATCTTCAATTTAAGATTTATAAACATTTGTAATTTATTATTTGTTTATATTAGCATCATTGTGGCATTTGAATTAAGTGTTACCCCTACCCACATTGGTGTATAACCAAAAAAAAAAATGTTTAAATATACAGGGTGGCCCACCACTCACTGACAACTTAAATAACTTTTGATCCAGTTAATATTTTTAGTTGATTTTTTTTTTAAATATTAGTTAGACGTTAGGTCTATAGCTATATCTCAATAATTAATTTTTTTACATTTTATTAAAAATATTAATTATTTTTAAATTTTAAATAAAATGTAAAAAAAAAATCTAAGATAGCTATTTTGTAGAGTAGAATTTAAGAAAAATTTTAGTAAAAAAATATCTTATTAATATTCAGTAGTAAATATTCTGTAGCGTTTTGAAGTTTGTGAAAATTTGAATTTTCATGTACTATTTTACGGTATTAAACATTGAAATACGTATTGAGAAAAGGACAGAAGAAAACGCTATCTTTTCATGATTACTGTGTATACATATGATGATAGTGTGTATACATTACAA